TTTGCCTGGGGGCGCCTCGCAGCCCAGGGGTGTTTGAAGAATCAGCCTGTTGTGGTGTTGCCTTTGCTCTGCGCCGGTCCCTCTCCCGCTATAGCGGGTGGCCCCTCTCTGGGACGTGTGGGTGCCAGGAACTGCTCTGCATTGTGTCCTGACCTGAGACCTGGCCTCTCCACTCCCCTCACCACTGAGCCCAGTGCGGGCGTGTCCTTGCTGGCCCCTGCTCCTCTGCCCTGCCTTGCTCCCCCCATGGGCCTGCCGGGTGAAATGTACAATCAGTGACTTATCGCTCTGCATGAGTAATGAGGAAGGAGACAGGCTGCTTCGCCTCCTGTGACTTGCTCCCAGTTAACCCCTTCCCTGCCGCCAGTGGGTTCGGGAAGGGGACTTGGCTGTCCCTGGGCAGGAGTGGAGGTGTCATGCCCTGGCCCTGCTGCCTCTCCCTGGGGGTGAGGGAACTCAGCAGCGTCCCTAGCAAACCAACCTGCCTCCCTTCCACAGAGAGCACAGGGCTGTGTGGACGCTGCATTCGTGGCTGTGTGCCCACAACAGAGCCACATGGGCTCTTGGTTTGGAGAGATGCAAGTCCGGATTTTCTGGGAGCCCAGCACGCTGAACGCTTCAGAGAATCCGGGCCACACTGTTCATCTTGAGAGTCAGACGGTCAAACACAGGCTGTAAGGGGCTGGCCCTTTGTGCGTGGGCAGAGCAGGGAGGCTGGCACTGGCTTGGAGAAGGCTGCTCATGAAAGAATTGCAGACACTGGCTCAGGATGGCTGCCGAATCAAATGTGAAAACAGAGTGAGCCAGACACTCAGACGGTGTCCTCAGGGGCTGCGCTCATGGCAGATCTTCCCTCAGCAGCAGGGGCTCCTCAGCCTGATCCCCAAAAGGGATCCATGCGTGGGCAGCAGAAGGAGGGGTGGCCGTTGGCATTGGCAGGCAGGTGCCAGATGGAGTGACATGCAGGGCTGCAGCGCACGAATCACAGAGGCAAAGAGCCAAGGTTCCAACGGGCCGGAATACGGATTTCTGGTGAACTTTCCAGAGGACAAGGGGAAGGGCTAGGAAGAGGTGCGTGAGAAATATTATGATTTGTTACGGCTGTGGTGGGAGCAAGGCAGGCTTTGGCCTGGACAGAACAGGGGCATGCAGCCAGCAGGGTGATCCTGTGGGCTCTGCTCTGTTCTCGTTCATAAATTAATCCTGGCTGACACCTCAGGAAGCTTTCCCAGTTTCTTGTTTTTCCCATTAAGAAAGGGATAGAAAATATCATACTGCCTCTATATAAATCCATGGGACACCCACACCTGGAGTACTGCGTGCAGATGCGGTTGCCCCATTTCAGAAAAGATGTATTGGAATTGGAAAAGGTGCAGAGATGGGTAACACAAGTGGTTAGGGGTATGGAACGGCTTCCGTATGAGGAGAGATTTAAAAGATTGGGACTGTTCTGCTTGGAAAAGAGACGACTAAGGGGGGATATGATAGAGGTCTATAAAATCATGACTTTTGTGGAGAAAGTGACCAGGGAAGTGTTATTTACCCCTTCACATAACACTAGAACCAAGGGTCATCTAGGGAAATTAATAGACAGCAGGTTTAAAACAAATAAAAGGAAGCATTTCTTCACACAATGCACAGTCAACCTGTGGAACTCCTTGCTAGGGGATGTTGTGAAGGCCAAGACTATAACAGGGTTAAAAAAGAGAACTAGTCAAGTTTCTGGATAATAGGTTCACCTGTGGCCATTAGCCAGGATGGTCAGGGACACAACCCCATACTCTGGGTGTCCCTAAAGCTCTGACTGCCAGATGCTGGGCATGGACGATAGGATGGTTCACTCCCTCTGAAGCACCTGGCACTGGCCACTGTTGAAAGACAGGAGGCTGAGCTAGCTGGACCTTGGGTCTGACCCAGTCTGGCTGTTCGGATGTTCTTATGCTCAGTTCCCGCCCCGGGTGCTGTGCAGCTCACACGCCTCCCCCTGAACCAGGGACCTGGCCATGAGGGAGCAGGGGTGGATTTATGGGGCTGCTGAGGTTTGGTTGCAAAACCAAGTGGAATCTGGATTGTTGTGCTGGGATTCCCAACTAGCCAGGCTGAACTCAGGGGATGAGGACATGGGGGTGGGAAGAAATGAGGGGGATGGGTCCCTCCCCGGAGCCCATTAAAGTGCGGGCGTAGGCCCCCCACTGACATCAGCAGCTCCGGTGCTGGCCTCACACTGGGCAGCTCTGCACCATGCCCGTTTCCCAGCTGACAGATGTGAGAGTTAAACAAAACCTGGGCTTGGTGCCCAGAGAAACTGGCCATTCCCTTGACTGAACCTGCCAGGGCTAGGGGGCGAATCCTTTGTCACAGGGAGCGGGAGGGGCCCTTCCCCTGCTGCTGAGGCAGGAGCCTGGGAGTGGGACTAGGTGAGCTCAGGGTGCTGGAGGGGGGAGACACAGACAGCCTGGAGCCGCAGCAAGAGGGAGAGGAGAAAGGAAGAGCTGGCCAGGACCGGGGGAGGGGTGGGGATGCCGGCTGGGAGCAGGCGGAGGGGTGGAATTAGGGAGCCTAATTAGGAATTAGGGGAGGGTATGACATCCCAGTGGACATGGGGTGGGATGGAGCGGGGTTGTTGTCCAGCAGTGGGTGGATGCGGGAGGCAGGACAGAGACCGGCGGGGCCTTGAGCTAAACTCTCAGATTATGTCTACACTGTGATGAACCCGTGGGTGGCCCAGCTAAGCTGCCTTGGGGCCGCGAGGCTCGGGCCATGGGGCTGTAGAATTGCAGGGTCGATGTTCGGGCTCAGGGACACTCCCCACTCCCGGGGTCCCAGAGCCTGGTCTCCAGCCCAAGCCCCGTGAGGTTGCGTCAGCAGAGCCGGCCCGGCTGCGGGTGTTCGTGGCCGTGTAGACGTAGCTCAGCTGCTGCTCAGCAGCGCCCCATGCTCAGCGCTAGCTCTGCCCGTACCAGAGGGGGGCGCCAGAGCAGATCCGCAGGGACCCTGCAACCCCGGAGCCGGCACTGTGCTCCCAGGCGTGCTCCTCGGCCGACTCGCAGGGAGCCTGAATTTCCCCACTGTGCGACTCGCAGCATACAGCTGGTCTGCCCGGTGACTCCGGGGAATCGATGCCAGCGGCTGCAGCAGCCTCACCAGTTTCCTCACCACCGTGTGGCCGCTGCTGAGCCTGTGCCCGGGGTTGTGCCCTGGACCCGAGTTCCTGGCATAGCCCCATAGGCAGAACACAGCCTGTGAGTGCTCCCGACAGGGGGGCCCACGGGCAGGGTGGTTCACAGGGGGCTCCTGGGGATTCAGCCAAACAGTTTGGGGCCCAACTTTCCAAGTGACCTCTGATTTGAGGGGCCTCCGCTGTGGGGGTCTCAGTGGATCTGATTTCCGGGGTGTGAGGAAGCTGGGGTGACCTGTGGATGTTCAGCACCTTTGGCCCCAGGCCCTGGCTGGGGGTATTTAGGCTCCTGAAATTCAGAGGCTGCATCTGAGAGCTCATCGGCTGGAGCAGGATGGTACTGGGAGTATCTGCTGTCAGGGCTGGGTGCCCACGCTGGCTAGGCACGCGGCTCAGCCTGTAGCTCCCCTCGGGAAACGGACTGGGTTTCTTCCCGCTCTCCGTTCACAAGAACTGGCTAAATCAATCAGGGCAGGTCTGCAGGAGTACGCGGAGTCAGCGCCAGTCTGGTGGCTTGTGGTTTCCGCTCACAGTGAGGCGAACGGTGAGCAGCTCGGCTCAGGAACCCGAAAGTGCGAGTGAAACTCGGTGGCTGGGATTCCAGCGTTTTCTGACTGCTGGGGGGCTGGGCCCTGTGAACCGAAAGGTGGTGTTCTGCGTGCCGTGCTTGGCTGGCAGACTTGGCTGGGATCTGGCTGGTGAGCTGCCCTTCCTCCTCCGGGACGGACACCAGGCAATGGAGCGACTTCGTGAAAGTCACCGGCCCCAGGGTCCCACTCTCCAGAGCTCTGCACACCAGGAGGCTGGCCAGGGGCCACCCAGAGTGGCTGCACTTTTGCTCCATCGGTGCAGGGACCCGGGGTGTAGTTAGCTGGCTGCTTATGCCAGCTTGCTTTCGTCACCCCAGCAAAGGCTGCGTTTTGCACTAGTGCAGAGGGTCTACCCCAGCAGCGTGCCCTGGGGACCCACCGAGATACAGATACGCAGGGCGGGGGGATTCGCTTTCTTTCTGGGTGGGATCCCTCTGCCCCTCCCCTAGGGAGCGGCTAGTCCCAGCTCCAGACAGGAACTCTGGGAGACTTTCAGTTTCTCATGTAACAGGCTGACTCAGCTGGCGGGGGCGGGGAGACAGGCACAAACGCGGGCTCTGCCCCCAGCAGAACAGCTGCCGGGTGAGCAGCAGTGAGTGGGACAGGTGGCCCCCAGGGCTCCACTCTCGCAGGCTGGGGGCCACGCAGTGGGATTGTTCACTGGGACTGGGGCAGCCAGTGCTGTGGCCCTTACAGCTCCAGAAGAACAGTGCACTCCAGCTGCCCGCAGGGCTTTCCTGCGCCAGGGGCTGGAGGGACGGAGAGGCAGGGAAAGGGCTTGGGGAAGGGGATGAGCTGCCAGTCCCCAGGGGTGCCATCTGAGATGCCCTCTAGGGGCCTCAGCAGCTCCCGGCCCCAGCTCCCCCCACGCAGCCCGGTGCAGCATCGGAGAGCTTGGGCCAAAGCTCCGGTGCAGCTAATGTTCTAAGTGAACCCAGGGGGCCTGAGGCAAACCCCGAGCCTCGCCCCAGGGCCAGTCTGCACCGTGGGCCCAGCTCCCTTTGCAGGGCAGCTCAGATGGGAGCTTGGCGAGAAGGCATGAGAAGGAACGTTCCAGCTGAACGAATGCCCCAGTGTGTGTGTGTGTGTGTGTCTGTGCGATGGCCTTACACAACTCTGTGTGTGTGTTTCTATGTGCTAACCATGTGTGTGTCTGTGCGATGGCCTTACACAACACTGTGTGTGTGTGTGTGTGTGAAGCACTTCTGAGTCTCTGTCTTTTATTTAACCAGTTCCCACTCAGGGTCGCCCACTCCCGGGAGCCTCGGCGTGGGTCTCTGCCCCTCACTGTTCCTGCCCCCGGGGCCACCACTGCCCATGGAGAGTAAAGAGGATATCAGCGACTCGGACAGCGGGATCATGCTGCACTCAGGTGGGTGAATGGCAGGCTAAGTCCAGCAGCCGGCTGCCGCCCTCTGCATCGGCCTGGGGCTGGAATGTGAGCCCAGGAAGGCGGGTGGGGGGGGAAAAGCTGTTCTGGGTCAGTGTCTCTTCTGGGGATTCCCCTCCTGGGCCCTTCTCAAGGTAGGTTTCCCTGCACTGAGAGCTGTGTCTGGAGCGGGAGGCCATTTGCCAGGGACACGTGAGCCCTGAAGTGCCTGTATGTCACACACATCCGTCCTGTACCTGTAACCGTAGGCAGGGCTGCGCTAGCAGGGGCTGCGGGTTGGGAGAGAGGGGCACCGGCAGAGCTGTGGGGACCCAGGGCTGGGCTGGCAGGGGCTGCGGGTTGGGAGAGAGGGGCACCGGCAGAACTGGTGGGGAGCCCCAGGCTGGGGTAGCAGAGGGGCTGTGTGTTAGGACGGAGGAGCAGTGGCAGATTGGCCTGTGTGAGGAGAGCCTGGGGTGGCTGAAGATCTGGGAGTGAGTAGAGTCATCAATGTATCTGTGAACTTCCAGTTTTCAGCATTTATTTGGCAAAAATAATCAGCTGATACTGTCACAACTCCCCCTTCCCCCCGCCCTCAGATTTTCCAGTTGAAAATCCTGCTCCCTATGTGCCCAGTCATTCCCAAAGTCAGTCTAAAGGTGCCCCCCACACCTAGAGATGCTGGTTGGAGGGCGGGGGGAGGTTGAGGATGTCCCCAGCTCCATGAAGGTTGAGACCTTACCTTGAATCCCCTGGGCTGTCAGTGAGCGGGGCACGGTAACCACTGCTAAGATTTACAGCTGGATTCACCGACGAGAACACTGCCTTCAGGATCAGGCCCCCGGTCCAGGACCTTAGCTCCGGCAGGGGCCGGTACCAGATGTGTCAGAGGAAGCTTCTTAGCTCCAGGCAGCTCAGGAAAGTCTGCAGCATGGAACAGAAATGGCCAGGAGTGGTGACTGGACCCATGCTACAGGCGTGCTGAGCTCTCGGCAAAATCCAGCCCCAAGGGCAGGTGCTGAGCTGTAGGAAATTCTGGGCTAAAAGGAACGTCCTGGTGCGAAGGGGAAACATGGCTCTCTCCTGCCCCTCCATTTGCATTCCACTCCCAGGACCCAGCTCAGCCCCCGCTGTGGATGAAACCAGCAGTGTTTCCACTCAGAAACCTGCAGTCAGGGCTCCCTGCTTTATCTGATGGCAGTGACCTGGAGCTGGCTGCAGCCTGCTGATGCTCCAGCTAGAAACATTCCGGGCTGGGCTGGGAGCCTGCAGGCCAGCCTGTACTTTGAAGTGCCACTTACCCTGAGATGGGCCATTCCTGCTCTGGGATAGCCCTAAAGGTCAGCCTTTTTAGGTACCAGCCCCAATCCCACTCCAGGGAGGGCCTGAAGGGCCGCTCTGTCTGGGTCATTAAACATCAGCTGTCACGGTCACCTGGTTCCAGCAGCGCCCCCGCTCCAGCCCACAGAGGATGAGGAGTGGCACTGGGCTGACAGGCTGGGGCAGGGAACTAGCCTCAGACACATTGTGGGAAGTATCAGAGCGGGCTGAAAATTGGAATTTCTGTCCCATGGAAAATTCCGATATTTCTAAATTAATTTTTATCCCAAATTGGGCTGAAAAGTCAAAAGATTGTGGTCACATGACTTCCATGATGCACTGCCTCGGTTAACTACAGGGTGACCGCAGTGCATCATGGGAGATATAGCCCAGCCAGGAGCCCAGTCCCTAGAGGCCGGTGGGGGCACGAGTGCTGGTGGACAGATTAATGTAAAACTGACTCGGAATGAAACCTGGGTTTGACAAACCAGAGCGTCGCCGCTGGGCTGGCCCAGCCCAGACCCGAATCTCCCATTTTGATTTTCCCAATAGAAAATCAACACATTTTGGCAAAATTGAAATTTTTCCTGCCGAAAATTTTGATTTGACAGTTAGTGCATCTTGCATCAAAAAAACACATTTAGATGGGAAATTCCAGACCCCCAAGTAAATCCTCAGTCAGATCAGTGACGCTGGTGGGCTCGGCAGCCGGATCAGCCAACACCTCCCAGCTGCTAACGCGAAGTGAGCAGAATTGGAGGACGCTCGATCCCTCTGGACTGGTGGGGAACTCTGTGGGGCAGGGCCGTCTCTGGGCTCTTTTTCAGCACAGGGACTAGCATCTTGGGATGCCCTTGAGCAAGCTGTAGAGAGCAGCGTAACAACACACAGTGAATCCACTTGTTTAGTTAAATCTTCACAACGGCTCCAACAGCAGGTTGGTTTGTGTTGTTATTCAGAGGGAGAAACTGAGGCGCAGAGAGGGGCAGTGACTTGTCCGAGGCCACGGGGGGGAGTCACTGTCGGTGACTGGAGTAGAGCCATCAATTTCCTGGTGCCCAGCCCTGCGCATGGCGTGGAGGCTGCCGCTCTCATCCTGGAAAGGGGCAGTGTCCCCAGCCAAGGTGACTTGTGTGAATGAAGGTGCCCCAGCTGGCTGGGGGAGAAACCAGCTCGAGGTGAGCTGCGGAGATGGCACAAGATACGGTGCCCAAGCCCCAGGCACCTTAGAATCCAAGGCCCCAAGTGGCCCCAGTCTGTGCTCAGGGCTGGCCCTGCGTCTCCCCTCTGGCTGCTGAATCGCGACTCCTGCTCTCATCCCCCACAGGCCAGGACAGCCCCGTGTCTCTGCTGAAGGACCTGACCCAGGCGGTGCGCAAGCAGCAGCAGGAGCTGGCAGCGCGGCTGGAGGCCTGTCTGGTGGAGCTGAGGAAGCTGTGTCTGCGCGAGGCAGTAAGGAGCCCTGGATCTCATGGGCTGGGCCTGGCGGCGGGTTGGCTGGATGGAGATTGTTCGGCCACCTCTCGTTTGGAGAGGAACCTGGTGGCTTTCCAGGAACTTGGGGATCCCTGCGTGTGACGGAGGGGGCTCCACCAGCTAGCCCAAAGCCACAGCTTCTACCTAGGGCGGCCAGTTTTGGTGGGACTTATTCCTGGAAGTTTCATCAGAAGACAGTATCTTTAATTAAAGATTAATATTAATTCCTGGAGACTCCAGGCCAGTCCTGGAGGGCTGGCAACCCCCTGGCCTTGATTGCAGGCTGCCACGGCCAGGCCGGATGGCTGGGGCAAACCTTAGCCCTGGCACTGAGGGGTTAGTTTGGGCCCATAGCTGCTCTGGTGTCTGGGCTATCCCAGGAGGATGGGGAATACATGGCAGTGCCAGTCAGTTAGTGCAAAGGTGACCATGTGCTAGGACCACGTGCACGTTGGCTGGTGTGCCCACTCCTCCAGGGCCTGCCCCCCAGGGCCACGTGCGTGTAGGGCGGGAGCACACTCCTACGCAGGACACGCTCCCCAGTGCGCCCCGGCTCCTCACCCATCTCTGGTGGAAAAGACGTGCCATGTGTGATCCCTTCTTCCCCTGGTGGTGCCCTGTGCTGCCCTGGAGGCTGATGTCTGTCCCTGCCCTCCCCAGGAGCTCACGGGCATACTGCCGCAGGAGTACCCCCTGAAGCAGGGGGACAGGCCCCCCATGGTACGGCGGAGGATTGGCACCGCATTCAAACTGGACGAGAAGACAATCATCTCACGAGGAGTGGTAAGGAGCCTGCTGAAGCCCGGGGATCTCTCCCTGGCGTTAGGCAGGGCACGGATGGGTCACCGCCACCACTTCATGGTGGCTCATGTGAAATGAGTTTGGAGGGTCTCAGAACAGTTCCACAGTCCCCAGCACCCCCACAGGCCCAGTCTGGTGGGCTCTGGCTCGGTCGGTCCACAGCACAGGAACTGCTCCGGCCCCTTGTTGGCTTTCTCAGCGCGGAGGCCAAAGAGTGAGGAGGCCCTTCCAGGTCAGGGGGAGGCAGCGGTGAGGGGACGGATGCTTCTCTTGCTGTACCCGCCCGGTAGATCAACGGAGTCTCCAGGCTGCCCCACCCCATCGGTACTGAAAACGACCCGGATGCCTGTCCCAGCCGGCTCTGTCTGTCCCGGCCGGCTCCAAGGGAGGAGAGCCCAGCACTGAGGGGTGGTGCACAGCAAGCTGGAGCTGCCCCAGCGCTTGTGAGGAAGCCCAGAGGTGCTGAGGCTTCGATGCTCAAGCTAGCAGGGTGGGGGAGGGGAAAGGGCATGGCTCCATCAAATGGGCAGAGTCCATTGATGCTTGATTTGCAAGAGTTCGTTAACATGCCAAACTCTCCACCTCCTGGTGACCTCTGCCTCAGCTTCCTCTGCCAGCCCACGCCCCAAGATAATGACCCAGCGTCCAGAGTGGTGCTGAGGATGGGGGGACGGGAGCGGGGGACGATTGCTCCCTCTGGCGGGAGGGAGAGGTGGGAGCATGTTTGCTCTCCCTTGACTCCAGTCTTGGGGACCAGCCTGTTGAGCCTCTGCCTTAGCGCCTCAGGAGACACAGCCGGAGCCGGGAGCCCAGTGCGCAGCGATCCCCGCACCGGGGCGGGGAGGCGGGGCTCTCTCCAGAGCCTGAATCGTTCCTGGGACTCCCCGCTAGCTGGGGCTGAACATGCCTCGTATGCAGCGCTCCCAGCCCTGCGGGCCCACGCGGGGAAGAGCACAGGGCGGGCAACCAGCTCAGACTCCGTATGGCTGCCTTGGGGCACGCCCGGGATCTGGACTTCCCGGGGTCCAGGGTGTTTCCTGATCTGTCCAGTGGGGCAGGGTTGGAGTCGGGGCGGGGTCAAGCACCCACTGGCACAAGCAGAAGTCAGCGCCTATGGAAGCCTCAGGTTTCCCCTGAGCGAAGGCCTAGCTGGACGTGGTTCCTCCTAGCCCCAAGCGCTGTTCCATGGCTTGTGTCCTCCTCCCATCCAGGACCCGCTGAGCACGCTGGAGAGAGACCTGGCCTTGCAGCTGCAGATTGCCGCAGCCACGCATCGCCTCTACCGGGAAGAGAACATCAGCAAGCACATCAAGAAGCGGCGGAAGAACATGGTGCTGAAGGAGGAGAAGAAGCTGCAGGAGCTGGAGAATGCCCTCAATGAGTGCCGCTTGAGGGCAACGCAGGAGCCCAGGCCCAGCCCCATGGCCCTCGGGGGTGAGCTGCATGTGCAGGCCAGATCTTGGCCGACTGCTCCATCAAGGCCTGCCTAGTGCGAGAGAGAGCGGGCGTGATCCAGTGGGAGCCCCTGGCCCAGAGATCAGCTGCCTCTGGCTTGCCTGGCTCCAAGGAGCAAAGGGCCTTGTTTGTAGCCTTGGTGTGACTGGGACTGGCACTGGGTGGCTCAGCCCCTGTGAGGGTTTGTCCTGCCCCAACGGTTGGCATGTTAACTGTGCCGCGGGACGTGTCGGCCGGGGGGTAGGTGGTAACGTCCATGACTCCTTGGTAGAGCTGTACAGGGATGGCCAGCACTGCCCCGATCACCGAGACTGGTGTCCGCTGGGTTATTGCTATAGCTTCGCACTCCGGCAGGGTCTCCTGTAGCCCCAAAGAGGGTCTCACTGGTCCGCCAGGGCCAGTCTCCCAGCTCTGCAAATGTTCGGTAATGGCTGTTGCTGAGGAAGGAGAGGGCAGGGCCCCCGAGCACAGCTGCCCCTTGGAGGTACGTGACTGGGGGCGAGCTCTCCCTGGCTCCTCTGCTGATGAAGTTAAACCCTTGAGCAGGAGATGAAGCTACATATGTCTCAGCTCCCCAGTGAATAGCTGGAGGTTATGGAGCTTTCCCAGGGCTCCTGCAGCAGCCTGTTCCAGAGGTCTCCTCTTCCAGCTAAAAGCACCTAGCTTTGCTTTCCTCCTGCTGTGCCTGAAAGAGGGGAATCAGACCAGTTACTCCTGAGTGACACCAGTGCAAGTGGGAGAAGAGTCAGGCCCACCAACTTGCCCGAGTGGTCATCCGCGGCAGCACCCTGAACTGCCCGCCCCAGTCTGGCTTCACTTGCCTTCCTGGACTCCGTTTCTCAAACTGCTGCTGTCTCTCCTGCATGCTTCTGTTTGTCCCCTCCCCAGAGCTCCCGCTGCACTCCCCCACCTCAGGGCTGTGGCAGGCAGGGCAGGAGGTGTTTCCATAGATCATGTGTTCATGCAGAAATGCTGATTTGTGCCAAGCGAAGCCGTACGTGGAGTCCTTTTGGAGTCAGCGAATCTCCTGACTCAGAAAAACGTGTGCGCGGGGCGGGGGATGTTTCAAAATTGTTGAAGTGGTTTGTTGTGATATTTTCAAAATGAAAAATTCCAGTTTTCCAATTCCAAAAGACTTTTGGTTTCAAAATTGAAGCTCATTAGACAAAACAAAGATTTTAAAAAGAGAAACAAGTGGAAACTGAAATGAAATGTTTCAAAATGATTAAAATGAAAACAGAATGTTCTGAGTCACTCGAACCAAAACTGTTGCAGTTTTTGGTTAACTAATATTTTCAAGAGTTTGACTTTTTGTCCCAATTCAGAATGGGAACACTTTCAAACTCCTGAAAGTTTTGGAGGGCTGAGACATCATGTTGCCTCCAGCTCTAGCTGTGAGCAGCGCGAAGGAGAGCAGAAGAATTCAGAATAATATTTTGCCTTTTTACAGGGCCTTTCAGCTGAGGCCCTCAAAGCTCTTTTCAGACATTAATTAATGAAAGCATCCCAACAGCCCTGAGGCAGGTAGGGGATATCCAGGGCAATTCCAATCCTTGTCAAAATGCAGCCTACTCTGAAGTGGAGCCCAGGGGCTGTTAAACAGCTGAAAGCATCCATGTAGAACAGGCAGTTAGGATTGTCCCGTTGAAAGCTCAGGGATTTGGGCGGGCTGGTGGAACTTGGCCTGTGGTGCAGGTGAAGGGGAACCTCTGAGCCACGTCTGACATTGGCTGGCTCATCGTCTCCACCCAGGGCTCACCCGACAGACCAGAGGCACAAAGATGAGGGGACTTCCCAGGCACCATGGTCCTCTCCCCACCCAGCCCCTGAGGTGATGCAGGCAGAGTGCAGGGCAGGGAAAGGAGAGTGAAGAGGCTCTCGGTCTCCCCAAAAGGGACTGAGCATGTGTCTGGGCGTGGGGCTGCTTTCTGAGCCAGCAGGCGGGCTGGGGGCTGTGGCGGAGTGGGGGCAAGAGGCAGTGCACTCGACTTCTCTGCACGGGCCAGGGGACTCTCGCTGCTGCGTGGCCTGGGCTGAGCTCTGGGGTCTGCGCTGTGTGCCCTCCCCTCTGGTACCCTGCTTTCCCCCCTCGCCCCCCGGCTGGCATTTCCCTTCCCGAGAGGGGTGGCCGGGGCGCAGCTAGCGAGACCAGGGCAGCGATGGGGGTGCCATCACACCTGCAATGCTCATGTTCCGGTGCCCTCTGGAGGGCTCCCCGCGTCTGGGGATGGGCGAGGGGGGCTGAAACCCGCAGGAGCAGCTGCTAGGCCCAGCTCAGCAGAGAGGAGCGGGTGGGAAGCCTGTAGGGACATGCCTCCTGCATGGTGCCAGTTAACCCTTCAGGCACCAAAGTGCTCCCTGCCTCCACCGGCTTGATCCTGCCTGGGATGGTCCCACGGGTTCCACCGCAGAGGCAGCTGCATTGCAGTGGTAGGTGAGGTGGCCCCGGAGAGGTTGGAGCTCGTGGGACGACAGACAGTTTCACTGTTGCCGTGTATAGTTAACCCCAGCTCCTGGAGCCGAGGCAGAGCAGCGGGAGACCCAGCCCCGCTCGTGTAGCTGTGTTAGGGGTTTGTGCAGCGTTGCGTCTACGTGCTGCTGGAATCCCAACAATCCCTGCTGACTGAGGCCCCATGGAGAGTCAATGGGATCTGTGTTGCGGCCCCTGGCCGAGCCCAGTGAGCGTCGCTGCCCTTCCTCACCTCTGTCTCTTTCCCCATTGCTTCCCTAGAGCTGAGCTCCTCGGATGACAGCTCCCTCTCCGATGCCGTCCTGCTGGAGGAGGGTAAGGCATGAGCAGGGTTTGGATTTTCCCTTCCTGTGGGCAGGGCATGCGGGCAGGGCAGTGTCTGCACCCCGCCACGTTGGGAAAGGGGTATGAGCCCATCTGCTCCGTTCCCCCAGAGACAAGCATTTGATGTGGGGTGAGCCAGGCAGGGCTGCTGGGGGATGGGCTCTGGGCTGTGTGGGGATCTGAGCCTGGAGCCGGAGGGAAGGTGACGGGCAGACACCGTGATTCCTGCACTGCTTTCACCCCCCTCGTTCTCTTTCAGAAGAAACCCAGGCTCCGAATCATCATGCTGCCCAGCAGCTCATGGTGCCAGTCCAGCCTGGCACACCGCACAGCTCCCCGGCCCTGCCCGCCCGCTCTGCCCCTCTCCAGCAGCGTGAGGGGCTGCCACCCACGCAGGGCGAAGTCCTAGAGCTGGAGCGCTCGCCAATCCAGAACAGCCCCTGGAAGGAGACCAGCCTCGATAGGCTCTATGAGAAGCCCAAGAAGCACGCGGCTGAGCCCTGCAGCCTGCCAAGGTACAGAGCATGGGCAGCACCTCTCGCCCCATCTCTACTCTGGGGAGCCCTGCGGATCAGGGGTCTGGGGGAATAGCCATGGAGAGATGCTGTAACCACAAGGGGTATAGAAACAACTTGGCTTGTAAGGCAGGAGAACCACAGGGGAAGTGCTGGTGGGCTGTTGGTGGCCTCTTCCCTCTAAGCCGGCAGAGACCCAACCTTGCACTGGGGCGCTACAGCTGAGACTGGAAGCCAGAGCGCGGAGACCTGCAGCCATTGCAAATCCAGGGCCCCTGCCTGACGGGTGACCCCAGTGTCCTGGCCAGGTGTCTGCTGGGCCTGATGCTCTTCACGTCCTGGCCTAAGCGGCTGGGTTCTGTGCCATTGCCTGGGGCTCTGGACAGGCTAACGCGTGTCTTTGGCTCTCCCGCTCCTCTGGAGGTCACGCCCTCCCCAGCTTCCATTGCTCGGAACTCCCTGGGACACTGAGCGGGGGATCATCTTTTCCATCCGCTTTTCCTCACCCTTCTGCCCCGCTCTCCCTTCCCTCCCCTCTGGAACGTGATGCCCTGGGTGGGTCGCTGGCCCCAGGAGGGAACCGGGACCCTGCGTCTCTTGCGGGAGCTACACGCCGATGTTCTGTGGGTCCCTGCAGCGGGGCAGAGTTGCTGAAGGGCAGGGCACCAATGCAGAGGTTTGGGCACTGTCCCCGTCTCCCCAGGGCCCTGGGCCACTCCGCTCCCACGGAAGGAGCCGTGCAGATGTTGCATTGGAGGGGAGGGATTACAGCTCTCCTGCACTGGTTTCTGTTCACTGTGTTTCTCCCCAGCAGCGCAGCCGGGACACCCATGCCAGCGCCTGCCCGCAGCCCAGCTGCTCAGAGGACACCTGAGATGCTCCCCTACCACTTTGTCCCCATCCGGACCTTGGCCTTGTGGAGGCAGGCTGGTTCCAGTGGGCCCCCGACCCCAGAGATGCAGGCGAGGCGAGGGCAATCTCAGTCCATGAGGTACTGCCCAGCAACGGGCTCTCTCAGCCAGCTGGGTGGCACTGGGCTCAGATGGGGCAGGAGAGGAAGAGCGGCTGTGTGGCCTAGCAGCTCTGACACTGAACGGGGAGAACAGGCTTCTAGTCCTACCTCTGTCACTGCCCTGCTGAGTGACCTGAGGCAAGTCACTTCCCAGCCTCATGCCTCAGTTTCCCCTCCCACCCATTCTCTGTTTGGTCTGTGAGCTCTTCGGGGTGGGGGCTGTCTCTGTGCAGCACAGGTGATAGTGGTTGAGGCCTCCAGGCAGTGCTGGTAGGAAATGATAAGGAGTGTGGGATAAATACAGAATGTGGGTGTGAGACGGGACCCCCAGAAGGGAGACAAATGAGAGGAGATGGGAGCAGCAAGGGAGGGACCCTGGGCCTAGCCCCAGAGTTTCTGCTCATGGAGAGCTTCTGATTTTGGTGCTACTGATCTGTCTTCCCCCGAATGCAAAGCAGGGATGTGGAACCCAATTAGCGCGTCCACCCTGAGCTGCCCTCGCTCTAGCAGAATCAACTCCAGCTGGCTACCTTAGCATTGACCCTGACACCCATCACTGTTGTGACTGGGCGCCTGCCACATAAAATCACTAGCAAGAGCCATGTCTCTAGTGGACTCCATGGAGCCTCTGGCTCTGCTCCCTTCTCAAGGTCAAAATTCTGCTGTGGAGGAGGGGGGTTGATTTGTTTTGATGTTATTAATGTCCTTGGTTAGTGTCGGTTAGTTGGGGTATGGCGGTGGAAGCGGGGGGTCAGCTAAGGGGGTGGCTGGAACTAAGGCGTGGGCAGAGCTAAGAAGTGGGCAGGATTAAGGCGGTGGGCAGGGTTAAGAAAGGAGGCAGAGCGGAGCTCGGGGTGGGCAGGGTTAAGGGCGTCTGGAAGGATTTCGGGGGTATTCTCCATTGAGGTCTGTGGGGAGGGCTGGTGTGTCTGTACATTAGAATCATAGATTCTCAGGGTTGGAAGGGACCTCAGGAGGTATCTAGTCCAACCCCCCGCTCAAAGCAGGACCAATCCCCAATTTTTGCCCCAAATGGCCCCTTCAAGGATTGAACTCACAACCCTGGGTTTAGCAGGCCAATGCTCGAATCACTGAGCTATCCTCCCCCCGCCAAAACTAACCTCCCCTGACCAAGGGAAACGTCTGCCAAAACCCAGGATCGAACCAGGGACCTTTAGGTCTTCAGTCTAACACTCTCCCAACTGGTACACGTGCCCTGTGTGTACACGGTGCTTTGGATTTCTGAGACCGCTTCTCTCAGCTTCCTTCACTTGGCCCTGGTGCTAGAATACCCCTAAATAGCTTCCCTCTGCCCGCAGGCTGGATGTGTCCCGGGACCGAGCGGAGCCCCGGGGGAGGAGCGTGTTGCCAAGGCGGCGCCCCACCTACTACACCGTCACCGTCCCCATCCCCGTCCCCGACTACTGCTTCCCTTCATCCAAACCGGGCCGGGCCTCCCGCTCCATCTACCACTCCGGTTCCGAGGACAGCAGCTCGGACGTCTCCAGCACCCCGTGCACCCCGTCGGCTGGCTGCGGCAGCCCTGACGCCTTCCGGAGGCCGATGCCCCCGCCGTCCGCGGAGCCGCCCTCGCCGGAGTTCAGGGGCCCGCGCTCTGTGGGGCCCGAGGCAGCGTACTATTACCAGAGCCCCCACAAGCGGCTGCTGCCTCCCGGTTACTTCCCAGCTGTGGAGCATGTGGCTGGGCGGGAGTTCTGCCGGGGCTACCCCTTGCTGCGGGCTGGCAGCCCAGCTCCGTTCCCCTATGAGCAGGACATGGTGCAGCTGCACTGCCAGCGGCTGGCCCCGGCCCCCAGCAGGCTCCTGCGCACCCCATCCCTCAAGGACTACGCCCCTGGCAGCGGCAGGGCCCTCGCCAAGTCGGCCGTGTCGGAGGAGCTGAAGTCGTGGCACGAGCGCACCAAGCTGCGGACCTTGCGGCCCCACTCGCTGGACAGGCAGGGGGCCTTCCGCGTGCGCAACACACCGGGCAGGGAGCTGTACGCCTCCCGCTCCGCCGGGCAGCAGCCTCAGGTAAGGACCGGCACGTGGCATGGGGTGGGTAGCGACAGCCAGGGCAGGAGGTGCTGCTGTACCGGGAAAGTGCTAGGGGAAGGGAACCATTGACTCTCTACGGCCTGGGGCACTCGGAGAAGCTGGGGGCCCCTTACTGAGCATCACCTCTCAGTGCCCAGCAAGTAAGGGCGAGCTGGCAAAGGAATGTACCAGCCTTTCTCCTTTGCAGGCCTAGGTTCAGTCATGTCCTGGGTCATACACTGTCCTAGCATGGATCATTCCCCAGTTCACACAAACCCCATCGGCAGAGCAGGGTGTGAGGGGAGCCCAGGGCTGGGATTGCAGGGGCTGCGGGTCGGGAGTGAGGGCTTTGCTGGGAGGGCCCGTTCTGTGGGAATCCCCCGTGATCCCTTCTCAGCGAGGGCAGCTCATGCCAGCTTGGACACCCTCAAAACCCAGTATTTGGGCCCCCAGCAGCTCTCGGCTTTCGACAGCGTTCGGTCACTGCTGCTCTGGGCAGGCCCACGCCAGGGGCCCAGCACCGTCCATCAGCAGCTCCCTCTCGCTGGGCTTCTGCAAAGGGATCAGCCAGGGAGTAAAACGCTCCTCACAGAACGGCCACGCTCAGCTCAGTGTGGGTAACACGTGGCATGTGGAATGGCAGCACCACAGCCCGCGGGCCAGGCCCTCCCTGGTGTAAATCAGCATCACCGATGCCAGGGGGACGATGCAGATTGATACCAGCTGCGGCCCTGCCCTCCCCGCTCTCTAAGGTTAATGTCATATTATTGGACTCGTCTTAGCCTGCCCGTCTTGGGGGGAATTGAGTTTATTAATGTTTGAACCCGCCCCCTCCCCGTGCCACACGACCCCCAGCAGCAAGCGGGACCAGCCCTTCCCAGCAAGTTTCCCCCAGGTCCGTGCGGGCCGGCCCTGGGGCTGGCAATGTGCTGGAAAGCCTCCAAGTTCAAATCTCGCCCAGCCGGGGGCATCTGAATGTTGCTGTTTTCCCATGGCCAGTTGAATGTGCTGCTGGTCACATCCAGCTCCCAAGAGCCACGCACAGCCTGGCCCAAGTTACTCCCATGGGCAGCTGCAGAGAGGCCTTGCAGAGGGGTTCCCTGGGCAGAGCAGGGCACACTGCCCCTGGCAGTGCGTTCTGGGAAGCCCAGGCCCTTGGCGAGCACACTCAGTGCAGGAAGGGGCTCCAGAGCCCAGGTTTAGCCTATTGAGCTGTGGAACCGGCAACACTTGTTGTGACGATGTGACTCAGCAGGGCGGGGGGAGTGTTGACCTGTGAATGTGCCCTGGGGATGGGAGACCTGAGAGCCTGTCACCTGAGCCAGGAGGGGGAGGGGGAGGTGACACCTCTGCCCAGGAATGTGATCAGAGGCTGCAGCAGGGAACCTGCTGGGTGGGTTGAGTTGGCAGTTGGGGGCTGGGGAGAGGAACACAGGGAACCCCAGGGCTGGGGTCTAAGCTCCCTGCTCCCCCAGAAGGATGTGATTGAGGGGTCCGGGTTGTACCCACAAGCTCCGTTGTGGACTGTGTTCCTGTTTCCAATAAACCTTCTGTTTTACTGGCTGGCTGAGAGTCTCAGTGGATCCCAGGAAGAGGGGTGCAGGGCCTGGACTCCCCCACACTCCGTGACAACTGGTGGCAGCGGTGGGATGTACTGCACCCCGTGAACGGCGCTTCCTGCAGTAAGTGACTGGGGAACAGTAAAACGAAGGGGGACTGACGGGGACCAGGCGTGCTGAAGATTCAGAGAGAGACGGTTTCGGGGGGTGGTTAACCCCTGGGAATGTGTGACCAGAGAGAAAGACTTTTGCAGTAACAGGGTCCCCCGGGGGATTGCAGCGAGCGGTCCCAGGGGCGGAGGAGTCTGCAGCTCGACCCTGGCAAAGAGGTGGTGACCTCAAGAAGGACTGGCACACTAAGGGCTTTTCCTGGAAACCGTGGGAAGCTGCCCGGCCGGCGAGTGGCCAGCAGGGAGATGTACGCTAAACGCCTTAAGAGTGACCTGGTGGAGCTGTGCAGGCAGAGGGGGCTGCGCATCGGGAGGTCCACCAAGGAACAACTGATTGCCCAGTTGGAGGAGAGGGATCGCTTGGATGACCCGATCCCTGTCCCTGAGGGGAGCCGCCCGGCAGATGCAGCGTGGGCCCCGGGGCCTGACCGGGCTGGGAGGGGTCAGACTGCTGCCGAGGACATCCCGAGACCCTTCCTACCTATGTCTGGGGGAGGGGTTGGGGGAAGCCCAGCGAATACCGAGGGCACCCTGACCCCAGCACCCAGCAGGGGATCCTCCCGGCGGAGCTCCCCATCCCTGGAGCGGAGGCGGCTGGAATGGGAGAGGGAGATGAAAATGAGGGAGCTGGAGGATCATGAAAAACAACGTCAACATGAGCAGGAGGAGAAGGAGAAACAACGTCAACATGAGCAGGAGGAGAAGGAGAGGGAACGTCAGGAGAAGGAGAAACAAAGACAGCATGAACTGGAGCTGGCCAGGCTGAGGAGCAGTGGGGCCCCGGCTGTGGTGAGTGAGGGGGGACCCAAGACTGCAAGGAACTTTGATAAGTGCTTCCTGGCCCAGCAGAAGGAGGGGGAGGACATAGATAGCTTCCTGACGGCCTTTGAGAATGCCTGTGAGCTGCACAGGGTTGACCCTGCAGACAGGCTCCAGTTCCTCACCCCCTTACTGGACCCCAAAGCCGTGGAGGTGTACAGCCGGATGACAGGGCCGGAGGCAGGGGACTATGAACTGTTCAAACAGGCCCTGCTCCGTGAGTTTGGGCTGACCCCCGAGATGTACCGGAGAAGGTTCCGGAGTCAGCGTAAAACGCCTGAGGTCACCTACCTACAACTGGCCAACCGGATGCAGGGATATGCCCGCAAGTGGACAGCTGGGGCCCGAGCTAAAGAGGACCTGCTTGACCTAATTGTACTGGAGCAACTGTATGAACAGTGCCCTTCCGACCTGAGGCTGTGGTTGGTGGACAAAAAGCTCGAGAACCCCCAGCACGCAGGGCAGCTGGCCGACGAGTATGTGAACAGTCAGTCAGGGGGTAGCCGGGAGGAGTCCCAAAAGAACAGGCCCCCCCCGATGCAGAGAGAGAGTCACCAGGGGGCCTCCCAGCGGGGAAATAGGGAGAACCCCCTCCCAAGGGGAACGTCTGGCGTCGGGCCCCTCCGACCCGCTCGAGGGGACCAACGTGACCTGAGCTGCTATCACTGTGGCCAGAGAGGCCACGTACGGTCCCAGTGCCCTGGGCTCAGGGACAAACTGAGCAGACCCAACCTACCCAGGGTTAACTGGGTAGGGACCCAGCTGGACGAGGGGCAGACGACCCAGGAAAGGGGACCTACCAGTTTACCACCTGCTCAGGAGGGAAGAGTACCCCAGGCCAGCTCCGCCAGAGGGCTGGAGGCTCTGGACTCAGGGTGCTCAGTTTACAGGGTGGGCGCGGGGCTGTCCCTCCGGAGAGAGTGCCTTGTTCCCCTGGAGGTGGATGGGAGGAAGGTCAATGGATACTGGGATACGGGCGCGGAGGTGACACTGGCCCGGCCCGAGGTGGTGGCCCCAGATCGGGTGGTGCCCAACACCTACCTGACCCTGACAGGGGTGGGCGGGACCCCATTTAAGGTGCCCGTGGCAAGGGTACACCTGAAATGGGGGGCCAAGGAGGGCCCCAAGGATGTGGGGGTGCACCACCATTTGCCCACTGAAGTTTTGATGGGGGGAGACCTAGAGGACTGGCCAGGCAAGCCCCAGACCGCCCTGGTTGTGACCCGTAGCCAGAGCCGGCGAGGGCCACTGCTCCCTGACCTCGGGGAGGGTACCGCACCGGAGGCGCAGGACCCTACCCTGGTGGGAAGGGAGGGCCGAGGGGCACGGCTCAGAGAGGCTGAGGCCTCAGACCTGGCCACTGAGGGGGAACCGGTCCCCATCCCTTCCCCAGCCGCTGAGTTCCAGGCCGAGTTGAGGAAAGATCCCTCCTTGCGGAAGCTCAGGGACCTGGCCGACCTCGGTGTGGTACGGACCATGAGGAGAGGCTGCCAGGAGAGGTTCCTGTGGGAGAAGGGGTTCCTATACCGAGAATGGGCTCCCACAAGGGAAGTAGAGTCCTGTGGGATCAGGAGGCAGCTGGTGGTCCCCCAGAAGTATCGCCGCAAGCTCCTGTACCTGGCCCATGACATCCCCCTCGCAGGGCACCAGGGAATCCGGCGCACCCGGCAGAGGTTGCTACAGAACTTTTACTGGCCCGGGGTCTTTACCACGGTCCGGCAGTATTGCCGATCCTGTGACCCCTGTCAGAGGGTGGGGAAGGCCCGGGACAAGGGGAAAGCGGCTTTGAGACCTTTGCCCATCATAGAGGAGCCTTTCCAGAAGGTGGCCATGGACATCGTGGGGCCTCTCAGCAGGACGACCCGGTCGGGGAAGAAATACATTCTGGTCGTGGTAGATTTTGCCACCCGCTACCCCGAGGCAGTGCCCTTAGCTTCCATTGAAGCAGACACCGTGGCCGATGCGCTCCTGACCATTTTCAGCTGAGTGGGGTTCCCCAAGGAAGTCTTGACAGACCAAGGCTCCAACTTCATGTCGGCCCTGCTCCGGTGCTTGTGGGAGAAATGTGGGGTCCGGCACGACTGGGCCTCAGCTTATCACCCCCAGTCCAACGGGCTGGTGGAGAGGTTTAACGGGACGCTAAAGATGATGCTGAAAACCTTTATGAACCAGCACCCACAGGATTGGGACAAGTACTTGCCTCACCTGCTGTTCGCGTACAGGGAGGTGCCACAGGAGTCTACCGGATTTTCGCCTTTCGAACTGTTATATGGAAGGAGGGTGAGGGGCCCCCTGGACCTGATGAGAGACGAGTGGGAGGGGAAGGCCACTCCCGATGGAGAGTCAGTGGTGGAGTATGTCCTGATCTTCCGAGAGAGACTTGCTGAACTCATGGGCCTGGCCAGGGAGAATCTGGCCAGAGCCCAGAGGAAGCAGAAGGTCTGGTATGACCGCACGGCAAGGGCCCGTGCCTACGCCACCGGGGATCTGGTGATGGTTCTCATCCCAGTGAGAAAGAACAAACTACAGGCCGCCTGGGAGGGCCCTTTCAAGGTCGTCAAGCAGCTCAATGAGGTAAACTATGTGGTGGAGCTGTCGAACCGGGCGCACCACCGCCGGGTGTACCATGTGAATATGATGAAGCCATATTATGCCAGGGGGAATGTGGTGTTGGCCGTGTGTGGACAGTGGGAAGAGCAGGGAGATGACCCTTTAGTAGATCTATTCCCTGGGACCAGAGCTGGTTCCCCCCTGGAGACAATTCCCCTCTCGGATCAGCTAACCCCTGCCCAGCAAGCTGAGGTCAGGGAGGTGCTGCATCCGTACCGACAGCTGTTTTCCAACCAGCCTGGACGCACTAATCTGACTGTCCACCGGGTGCAGACAGGGTCGCACCCGCCGATAAGATGCTCCCCCTTCCGAGTCACAGGGAAAACTGCTCAGGACCTGGAAAGAGAGGTCCGGGACATGCTGGCTTTGGGGGTGATCCAGCCATCTGCCAGCCCTTGGGCCTCGCCAGTGGTGCTGGTCCCCAAAAAGGACGGGTCGGTCCGGTTCTGCGTGGACTATCGGAAGCTCAGTGCCATCACTGTATCTGATGCCTACCCCATGCCCAGGCCGGACGAGCTCCTAGACAAGCTGGGAGGAGCTCGGTACCTTACCACCATGGACCTTACAAAGGGCTACTGGCAAGTGCCGCTGGATGCAGATGCCCGACTGAAATCGGCCTTTATCACCCCTCTGGGGCTCTATGAGTTCCTGACCCTGCCTTTCGGCCTCAAGGGAGCGCCGGCCACCTTCCAGCGCCTGGTGGACCAGCTCCTGAGGGGGATGGAGAGTTTTGCCGTGGCGTATATTGATGACATCTGTGTCTTTAGCCAGACCTGGGAGGACCACGTGTCCCAGGTTAGACAAGTGCTGGACCGACTCCAGGGGGCTGGGCTGACTGTAAAAGCGGAGAAGTGCAAGGTGGGGATGGCGGAAGTGTCTTACCTGGGCCATCGGGTGGGGAGCGGCCGCCTAAAGCCGGAACCAGCCAAGGTGGAGGTGATCAGAGACTGGCCCGCTCCCCACACCAAAAAGCAGGTCCAAGCCTTTATTGGGATGGCAGGATACTACCGAAGATTTGTGCCCCACTTTAGCGCCATAGCCACCCCCATCACTGAGCTATGCAAGAAGGGGAAGCCAGACAAGGTGGTCTGGACCGAGCAGTGCCAGGTGGCTTTCCGGGCGCTGAAGGAGGCTCTGGTCAGTGGCCCAGTTCTGGCGAACCCAGACTTTGACAAGCCCTTTGTGGTGTTCACCGACGCCTCCGACACGGGACTGGGGGCGGTGTTAATGCAGGAGGATGAAAAGGGGGAGAGACACCCCATCGTGTACTTGAGCAAGAAGTTGCTACCCCGGGAGCAACACTACGCGGCCATCGAGAAGGAGTGCCTGGCCATGGTGTGGGCCCTCAAGAAACTAGAGCCCTATCTCTTCGGGCGGCACTTCACCGTCTACACCGACCACTCTCCCCTGACCTGGCTGCACCAGATGAAAGGAGCCAACGCCAAGCTCCTGAGGTGGAGCCTGCTCCTGCAGGATTACGACATGGACGTGGTCCACGTGAAGGGAAATGCCAACCTGATAGCGGATGCGCTGTCCCGGAGAGGGGGCCCCGAACTTCCCCAGGTCACTGGTCACAGTGACCCCGCTCAGTTCAGTCTCGAAGGGGGGAGAGATGTGACGATGTGACTCAGCAGGGCGGGGGGAGTGTTGACCTGTGAATGTGCCCTGGGGATGGGAGACCTGAGAGCCTGTCACCTGAGCCAGGAGGGGGAGGGGGAGGTGACACCTCTGCCCAGGAATGTGATCAGAGGCTGCAGCAGGGAACCTGCTGGGTGGGTTGAGTTGGCAGTTGGGGGCTGGGGAGAGGAACACAGGGAACCCCAGGGCTGGGGTCTAAGCTCCCTGCTCCCCCAGAAGGACGTGATTGAGGGGTCCGGGTTGTACCCACAAGCTCCGTTGTGGACTGTGTTCCTGTTTCCAATAAACCTTCTGTTTTACTGGCTGGCTGAGAGTCTCAGTGGATCCCAGGAAGAGGGGTGCAGGGCCTGGACTCCCCCACACTCCGTGACACTTGTCCAGCAGGCCCTTCCCCGAGCCATGTCCATTCTCCTGCCCGGGCAGCTCCCTGCCTGCAGCAGAGGGCAGTGGCCCACGCCAGGCAGGCTGGGGCTTGTGCCTGGCTTCCTCCCATCACCGCCCCCGCCAGGAACCAGAGAGCTGCTCTCTGCAGTGACACACAGTCCGGCAGCTGTCCTCGCCCCGGGAGCGCTGCCTGGGGGAGCACGGCCCTGCACACCACATCGTCCTGCGAGCACCGCAGGGTGGGCAGCATGAGGGGTCACGTGACCCGTGAGCTTAGCAAGAGGGCCAAGGAATCCCTGGGGTAACTCCATGCACACCCAGCCCCTCTCCACCCACGCACCAAAGGCCAGGCCTGCAGCAGCTGGCCTTGTCAAAGCAGGGTGCTCTGTGCTGGGGGCAGGGGCCTGGGCACCCCCAGGAGACTGGGGCTGAGCGCCTGGCTCTGCACAGGCTCCCTGTGTGACTTTGGGCCAGTCCCTTCCTCCCACGGGCCTCTGCTCCCTGTGTGCGGTGGGGAATAGTGCCAAACCCCCAGGGGTTGTGAGCGGCCGGGACGGGCTGGCTGTTGAGTCACACTCTTGCTTTGCTGGCTGGGATGGCTGCCCTGAAAGGCTTTTTCCTTCACGCCCATGCAGGTGTGTCAGATCCATGTCCTGAAGCAGTCCCCCGAGGGAGCTCCTGTGCAGGTCTACGTGCCAGAGAATGGGGAGGTCATCACTCAGGTCTAGAGCCGGCCTGGGCCTGCTGCCAAGCCCTCGCCAAGAGAGCCCCGCGCCCAGCTGGTGAGAAGCGGCGGCAGCGAGCCTGGGCGCGGGGGCTTACTCAGGAAGCCAGCTGGTTGCCCTGGACGGGGCTAGCAAGGGGGCAGGACCCCGGGTGCACCAGTCCTGACCATGTATTTGGACACTGCCATTTGGAAGAACTGGATTCATTCTGGCATTGTTACCTTCTGAGGTGTTTCTCTTTGGACTATGGGGTGCCTCCTCCCACAAGAACTCCCCTCTGTCTGTCTATGGGTTTGCGTGGGCTGCAGCAGAGGAGGAAGGCCGGCTTAGGGCCACAACCTCCTGTGCGGCTTGGGGCTGGACTGGTTCAGCTGCTGGATATTCGCCAAGGGACAGACGTCCTTGCTTCACAGGTGTCATGCAGCTGATAAGAATAGCAGCAGTTGCCTTGTGATCATGCAAGCAGCTGCTGGGGTCATGGTACGTTGTTGATAGAGAGACACCTGCAGGGTCATGCGTTATGTGTCATGGTTCAGGCCAGTGCCAGGGAATTGTCCTCTTGTTGATTCAGCATAGAAGCTGCTGGTTTGCCGAGCACCCCACTACCTCCGTGCAAGTGGCACATTCCTGGAGAATGCAGCAAGGGCCGTCAAGATCAGAGTGTTTGGGCAACTGGGGAATGGGAGGATTTGATTGGCTATTAGTCTTGCTGCAGTCCCATAAACCATTGCAGCTCTCCCACAGGGGTACGTGCCTTGCCCCTTTCTAGGCTCTAGAGCAGTGGTTCTCAAAGCCGGTCCGCCGCTTGCTCAGGGAAAGCCCCTGGCGGGCCGGGCCGGTTTGTTTACCTGCCGCGTCCGCGGGTTCGGCCGTTCACGGCTCCCACTGACCGCGGTTCGCTGCTCCAGGCCAATGGGGGCTGCGGGAAGGGCGGCCAGCACATCCCTGCTATGTCTCCCTGTTCCCTGCAGCAGTCCCCTATTGCTCACTACCCTGTGGCATTTATAACTGCCCAGGTGTCTTTCTGTGTTAGGCTAGAGAAATTAACCCACTAATTACGGTAGCAGACTGAGTTTATTTTCATAGATTCATAGATACTAAGGTCAGAAGGGACCATTATGATCATCTAGTCCGACCTCCTGCACAACGCAGGCCACAGAATCTCACCCACCCACTCCTGCGAAAAGCCTCTCACCTGTGTCTGAGCTATTGAAGTCCTCAAATCGTGGTTTAAAGACTTCAAGGAGCAGAGAATCCTCCAGCAAGTGACCCGTGCCCCATGCTGCAGAGGAAGGATATACAGTGTCTGTGGCACCATTTCTTTATATTAACTTATTTGCAATAAGGTACAGTATTGGGTACCCACCCTGTGGGTTTGTACCAAACAGCAAGGGCTCATGCTGGTCTGGATTTATTCCAAGCTCCCTTCTTTAATAAATGCTGTTGTTCTTTGGGGTCCCTTTGGTATCTGAGACTTCATTTTTGAGGCATTGAATTGAGTCTCATGAATTTCTTGGGGAAGGTGTGGTGCTGTCACTGGCTTGTTAACGCTGCCGGGTGCCTTGTGGGGCTGGGCTGAGCGGAGGAGCCAGCAGCGAGAACCCACTGTGACCCTCAGCCGGGTGCCTGCTCCAGAGCTCAGTGTTTGTCAGGAGACAGCAACGTCGCTGGGTAGTGAATGGAGCAGCTCTCCCACCTGGCATTCAGCTCAGTCCTAGGCCAGGAACCCAGCCTTCCAAAGGCCCCTCCCAGCGGGGCTGGGGCCTCCATTAGGGACTTGACTAATGCTGTTGCCATACACGCAGGGTGCCCAGGTGCTATGGTGATGGGCAGCAGGAGAAAAGCTTAAAATAGATCAGTGTCAGCCCAGCTCCTGTGCTGGGGGAGGAGGGAGTCGGAGCTGGGGTTAACCCTTAGTTCCCCAGGGACCAGCCGGAGCAGTGGGTTCTCAACCTTTTCCACCCCAGGATCCCCCATGACAGCAGCAGAATATCATGGGGCCTGGTTGCCAAATGATGAGATTTTGATGCGGGGCCAGAAGCTCCAGCCTGTCAGAAAATGTGAGCCCTCTGACTGGCTGCCTGCCCTAACTGCCCGCCTCGTGGGATAGAGCAGCCAATCAGAGCTCTCCCACCCCAGCCCCTCAGCAACCCAAAGCCGCTCTCACGGGAGGGGATGGGGGGGAGGGACCACAGAGCCCAGCAGCCCAGAGGGCTCCACTCCCTCCCCCTCCTGTGAGCAACGGGGATGGGACAGCGCTTCTCCGCCCCGCTCTCCACCACCACTTTGAGGGAATGGGGCTGAAGAGGCCCAGGAGGAGCAGAAGTGAGGCTGGAGTGATGGGGACTGGGTGGGAGCTGGGCAGATCGGGGCTGGGGCTGAACTAAGCGGGGGCTGGGGGAACAAAAAAAATGTCCTCTAAAAAAAACCCCTCCCAGCTTTCCAAGCAGCCAAAAGAAAGGGGGGAAAAAGTCTTTTTAATATCCTGAGGTTTGTGCTTCTGTTTCAAAATCATCCCACTGCTCTGCCACCATGTCAGGGTACAGATGTAGGGACCCGCATGAAAGACCCCCTAAGCTTATTTCTACCAGCTTAAGTTTAAAAACTTCCCCAAGGCACAAATCCTTCCTTGTCCTTGGATGGGTACTTCTGCCACCACCAAGTGAGTTAGACAAAGATTCAGGAAAAGAACAACTTGGAGTTCCTGTTCCCCAAAATATCCCCCCAAGCTCCTTCACCCCCTTTCTTGGGGAGGCTTGAGAATAATATACCAACCAAATAGGTTAACAAGGTGAGCACAGACCAGCCCGTTGGGTTTTTAGGACATTAAAAACCAATCAGATTCTTAAAAACTGAACTTTATTATAAAGAAAAAATAAAAGAAGCACCTCTGTACAATCAGGATGGAATGTAATTTTACAGGGTAATCAGATTCAAAACACAGAGGATTCCCCTCTAGGCAAAACTTTAAAGTTACAAAAAAAAAAAAACCCAACAGGAATAAACCTCCCTCTTAGCCTAGGGAAAATTCACAAGCTAAAACAAAAGATAATCTAACGCATTTCCTTCCTATTACTTACAATTTGTAATCTTAGATGCTTAGTTCAGGTATGGCTTCAGGAGATCTGTTTTCCCTGCCCTGGTTCCTCGCTGTCCCAGAGAGAACCACAAAGAGCACAAAGCAAAAACCTTCCCCCACAGATTTGAAAGTATCTTCTCCCTGTATTGGTCCTTTTGGTCAGGTGCCAACCAGGTTATTTGAGCTTCTTAACCCTTTACAGGTAAAGGAGGGATTTTATGCTACCCTTAACTATATGATTATGACACTGTCTTAACCACTGTGTCTGGAAAACCATCTCTGAGCGATTTTCCATGACATGGTGGTAATAACTCCTTTGAGCCCTGCCTGCCTTAGTGCCTTAGTACCTGTTGCTGCTGGACCATTCGTCATAGTGTAGAAACACCTAGGTGAATGTCATGTTCACGAGGAATGTTCTGGTGCAGTTTATTCCTGGTCTGCTCCTCACAGGAGTCTCAAATCTCTCCATAGTTGCACAGAAATGATGGACTGAGAAGTAGCTTGTGTATCTGTTGGGAGTTCTTACTGTGCGAAGCAGCTGCCAGGATGCGAGGTTCTAAAGTAACTCAACAAGGCAATATGGATGCGATGCCTTTGAGATTCCTGGATGACAACAGTTCTTTGTCTTCCCTTCTGTTGCACTCATCAATAAAAGGTGGCTATTGTCCATCACACTATATGAAAGTCAGAATTGTTTTAACCTGGGCTTCTGTTGGGTTTAGCTTTAGGTCAGCTGTTTCAAGTTTCTTACTGGAATTTTAATTCTTAGTTCCTTCCCTAACCCAGATCTCTCAAATATCTTTATTTTTCTGACCATAATGTTTCAAAACTGCATTTGAGTTTTCAATCTGTTGTAACAAAATGCTGGTCCCTTAAGACTTTAGGGTTCTGTCTATCCAGGTACAAGCAGGTAACTCCTGCTGAGCACCTTTGCTGCAGTATCTGAGCGCCTGGCGGTTGTCATTATGCTGTACTAGGTGTGGTCACTTAGCATTGACAAGGATAGCAAGAATAAATCCTGATCCTCTTGCTCCAAAAACACAGGCCCCTACCACTTGAGCAAAAGGAGAACCCCTGTTAGCTAGTGGGTTTGCAGGACCTGTGGTTTACAACTCAGCACTCCTGGTCTATTCCAGGAGAGGGCAGTGATAACACATACATATTAGCCTATCCAGTCTAATATTTGTTTAATCGGCCTCAATGCAGTATTCCTCTGGGTTTCTTCCAAAAACGTTTTAAAACTGAGCATAGAAAGTAATGTTTCCAAACAATAAATAATACACTATACCCTTTGATTTGTATATAAACACAAAGGAGTTTTTGTTGCATACAAATGCAGTGAAAAGCAGCGGTAAACAACTGGACTGTACCTTTCCCAACAAGGAGGAAGTGAACAGCCAAAAAACCAGCTAACTTCTGGAATTCCAGGCTTATGAAACAGACTCTTACTCCTTCCTGGCTGCCTGAATGGAACTGAGGCTTCGAGAGATAGTGACGTTTTCATGCAGAATAGTCTCTTTCAAACCTCATTCCCAGAGTGTCCCAGCATGCCCCCCTCCCCCTATGAAGGTGCAGTTTGGCACAGATGGAGGGGGAGCGCACACTGGCAATTGTACCCAGGTGGGGAATTAGATATTCTGTCTCTGGGCAGCATCTACAGAGGTGCTTGTTGGAGCCTAGATAAAGGAGTGGGGGTTCCGAGGATAGGTAAGTCTTCTTTGTCAGTTAAGGGATGGGAGAATTGGGGTGCCCTGGCCCACCCCATATGTGTATTGTGGTTTCTTTTAGGTCTCTAACCCTGGGGTGGGGGAGGGGTCAGAAGCGAATCCTGGCCAAAGCCAGAGAACGGGGATTGGGGGAGGAGAAGAAAGGAGCCCATGGAACCCTTCTCTCAACCACCTGCTGTGCTCCCACCCCAGCCACCGTCTCCCTGGGCTCCCTCCCCTTCCCAGCCCCTTACCCGTGCACTCTGGGCCATCCCTGGCACAGCTGTGCGGATCCTCCTACTTGAGGATGGAGCCAGGTCTCCTGCAGGATATGTGGGTTCTACTAGGCTCCGCTCCACTCCCTGGGAGGTCAAAGGAGATGCCCTTCTCCCAGCATGCCTGCAGCCAGATCGGCTTCCCCACGTGCTCCGTTTCCACCCAGACCGGCAGCCACCCAGCTGGGGCCTGAGGCAGAAGTAGTCGCACAGAACAGCATGTGGAAGGTGTGGGACACCAGCTCTTCGGGGATGCAGCTCTGCCTGCCAGCCCCAGCACAGAGCACAGGAGCCGGAAGCCCAATCCAGGCAGGAGGTCCTGGCAGTTGAAAGTCAGGTGGTGGAAGAGCTCCTGTAGGTACTGGTCAATCCCTGTGGTCAGCACCACAGCCTTGTCCCCCCCAGAGTCCTGGCTGGCAGTGATGGTGGGAGAGAGCTTGGCAGAGCCAGCGGGTGCTATGCATGAGGGTGAGGGGCAGGGGCTCTTTCTGGCCATGGAGCTGGCAAGGGATGAGGAAGCACAGTGTGAGGAAGAGGAGGGAGAAGAAATCCCAGGCACCTGGTGGCTGAAGCTCCAGTTATATTGATCCCTATAAAAGGTCTTTCATCCACAGAGTTCAAAAGCAGGTCTGGATCATTATCACCCACTAACTCGCAAGGAAACCGGGGAGGCCAGGGACTCCCCCAGGTCACACAACAGCAGAGCTGGGAACAGAACCCCAAAGTCTCAACTCCCTGCTCCTGAGTGTCAACCACTAGACCATGCAGCTGCGCAGTTTCCCTGTAGCTAGGCAGCAGACAAGCATGAAAATAACCCCACACAAGCCAGAAGAAGCAGAGAGGAGACAATGGGAAGCTGCAGAAAGGGACAGAGATGCCTCCTGTGAGCTCCTGAGCCGGGGGGCTGCTGCAGACCCCTAGGGAGCCCAGGACTGGCCAAGGCCATTTACAGACCCAAGCGGGGAGGAGCTGCAAGCGCTGACAGAGGCCTTCTTCCCCAATGACCAGGATGATCCTCTGCAGAGCCAGGTACACCCTGAGAGGGACCTGGGAAGTGACCCAGGGGTGGCCAACCCCTGTCTGGCTGCAACACTGCCAGCGAGTGAATCACCGGGGACAAGGTGAATGGAAAAGATGTTGCTCAGGTAAATGAACGATTAAGAAGGGACGGTCGAGGATGGGGTGTAGTGGGGTTAGGAACCGACCCGGGGTTGCGTAAATCTAAAAACAAGCAGTGGGGGGGCTTACATTGTTTATTTTCTGAAAATCTCTCAACAGCTCGACAATGCCTTTCTAGAGGCCTTTGAGACTTTACACATTGGAAGCCCTGTGGAAGTAAATATGTCATGCATCAGCTGTTTTTGCTCATGTCTGAGACACAGATCTCAAGAGGAAAATCCAGAAAAGGACAAAATGGAAGAATGAACCAGCTCAGACTCCCTAATGGTAGGGGTCATGGCATCAATTTTCACAGGCGGCTGTAAAAGGTCGTGTTAAACCAGGCGAGTAATAAAACTTGTTTAAATTTGTCAATATGCATGTGTCCCTCCATACTCGTGTTAGTAAAAGACGGTACCAGTAACAGTCATGTCTACGCAGATGGTTCTGTTAAAGAAAATATATTACACTCCTGGGGAAGTTGGGAGTTTCGGCGGGGTGAACCCTCTTTTTCAAGTGGCCAAAAAGCATAGTAAAACTTTAAACAGAAGACAGGTAATAGTTTGGCCTTCAGACCAGGATTCTTACACTTTACCATCTTTCTCATCCACACCTATGTATCATAGAATCATAGAATATCAGGGTTGGAAGGGACCTCAGGAGGTCATCTAGTCCAACCCCCTGCACAAAGCGGGACCAATCCCTGTCATGTAGTTACTTAAAACACAAAACCTCATAAAATAACCAAACCAATATGCAAAATATATTTACTGGGCTTCATCCTTCCATCAGCCATTGAGGCTGGTGAATTCCTTTTCAGTTCATAGAATCATAGAGTCATAAAATATCAGGGTTGGAAAGGACCTCAGGAGGTCATCTAGTCCAACCCCCTGCTCAAAGTAGGACCGATCCCCAATTAAATCATCCCAGCCAGGGCTTTGTCAAGCCTGACCTTAAAAATATCTAAGGAAGCAGATTCCACCACCTCCCTAGGTAACGCATTCCAGTGTTTCACCACCCTCCTAGTGAAAAAGTTTTT